ATGCCGAAGCAGCCGCCCAAGCAAAGGGTGTAAAGGGACACTGCAGAAAGTAGGGAAGGCTCCTGGCTCAAGGATTGCTATTGGAGCCCTCAACCTTAAACCCGAACCCCTAAACCCTAACCCCTAAACCCTAAACCCTAAACCCTAAACCCTAAACCCTAAACCCTAAACCCTAAACCCAAAGCCGTTGTCTGAGTTCTAAGGTTGGCTCACGGCTTTGGGCCGTAGAGTTTAGCTTGAAGTTCAGATTCTCAGGGGTTTGGGGCTTTCAGTAAAGTGTGCAAGTTCGAGCCTGAAGTACTTGGGTTTAGGGTTTAGGGCTTAGGGATACCTTAGAAAAGTGACATCATATCCTGTTCCGGGCTTGCCAGACTTCTTCTATGACCACAACAACATGAGTTGCAAAGACAACGCTTATACTAATTAGTCTTAACAATAAGAACGATTAGAATAATTGTGGTAAGAACGGCAATTAGAGCAATGATAACAATCCTGAGGCCAACAATGTTGATACTCTAGCAATGTAGCAACTGGCATGCGAGACCTAAAACCCTAAACTCCAAGATTGTCCCAAGTTGTAGGGATCCTGAACTGCGTATATTATATATATATATATACGTATATAGACATACCTACCTATCTATCTACCCATCTATCTATCTACCTGCATCAGAAACCAAAAAGGTCAGCAGCCCCAGTATGCGACCCTAAACTTACTTCCCCAATAGGCCAGGGAAATAAAAGGTTAAACCTTAAGGTTACAACTAAACTATAAGAACCCAAAAAGTTTAAAGGTTGGGTATTGGGGAACTAAGCTTCCTAAACCCTAAACCCTAAACCCTAAACCCTAAACCCTAAACCTTCAACGCCAATACAGGGGGCAGGCCGGAAGGAGCTCAACGTGGCGTTGGAAGACGTTCGGGGATTTTGCTGCAACTTCCGTGGGCACCCTATTGGGGAGCTTTGGGATCCCCTAAACCCTAGACCCTAAACCCTAAACCCTAAACCTTAAATCCTAAACCTGACCATGACTATCTCGAGCTCCCATGTACGGCAACTCGTGCTTTTGTGCAGACCAAGGCTGGGCCATGGCCTCTGCTTCTCCTGCTGCCTCGGATCTGCATGTAAGACCGGAGACCCGAACCCAGGGTTCAGGGCTTAGGGTTGAGGGGTTTAGGGTTTAGGGCTTAGGGGTTGAGGGGTTGAGGGGTTAGGGGTTTAGGGCTTAGGGGTTGAGGGGTTAGGGGTTTAGGGGTTTAGGGTTGAGGGTTTATGGCTTTAGGGTTTGGTTTAGGCTACTGAGACCCAAACCCCAAAGACCAAGCACCTGCGGTTCTTCGGGCAATATGCTGCATGTTCCTGGGACGAGTTCTCAGGCCTATAGTCATCTCGGTCGAAACCCCTAGGGTTCAGGGTTTAGGGTTTAGGGTTTAGGGTTTAGGGTTTAGGGTTTAGGGTTTAGGGAACTTGCAACTTCAAAACACCCACGTCCTCCTTCAGCGAGAGGATGGCAGCGGAAACCAAGCGCCAGGCTTCCTTCGTCATGCCTGCGGGGTTTAGGGTTTAGGGTTAGGGGGTCTAGGCGTCAGGGTTTAGGTTTTAGGGGCTTAGGGGTTTAGGGGTTTAGGGGTTAAGGGTTTAGGGGTGTAGGGGTTTAGGGGTTAGGGGTGAGGTTTAGGGGTTTAGGGCTTAGGGTTTAAGGCTTTTGTTCCCAACATCCCCTTCGCACTGCCTTTTAAGGGTTGCTTCAACGGTTCCTTTATGGTTTAGGGTTTAGGGTTTAGGGTTTAGGGTTTAGGGGTATTCTGGCCTGGTGTGGTTACCCCTTGCCAACGCTAAGGAGCTTTACTAAAAAGCCCTCAACATC